ACTTTGAGGCATGATAGGTCGCCGAGGTCAAATTTTTCCATGCGAATTGCGCGTCAGTTCGCACCCTCAGGAGGTCCGTGGGTCCCTCAACTAGGTCAGTTTCCCTTTCTTCGTGAATTCCTCCTTTAAAAGGTTTGTCAGCATTACAGAAGCAGCCATGATGATGAGGGTGGCGGTGGGAGACGGTGCGGGGTCGTTTTGGGGAATTCCCATGGCTGATTGGGGGAGTATAAAGACCTTCTCAATGGAGTCGTGACATTTTTGCATTTTTCCCTGAGTCGCGATGGACCCCGCTACCATGCGTTTAGCAGGGGCCCCAAAGGTCTCCTTCAAACCTCTTCTCTGGTTGGTTCTGTTATACGAGCACAAAAAATTATTTAAAAACCATTGGGTGTGACATATTGTTTATTTTTCTATGAACGTTTAATCCAACGCCAAGTCTAGATCTTGCTTTGATTTTCCAAATTATCGTCAAAGTTATTACAACGAACCAAATGACCAAACATCGGTTTGTGTTGTAAATAGCCCATCAAGAAAGGCCTCTGGAGGCATCCACCTCACCGGTAGCTTGGCGCGACCACCTTTGCGATAGTAATTATTCCTGAAAGAAATACAGATCATTTCGAAAATATAAGCATAGAATTGTGTGGGACTAACTCATAGATGTCCCTTGCCATGCCGAAATCGCCAATCTTAACTCTTCTATTTGGACCCTTCTCCGTGAGCAGACAATTTCGTGCCGCTAGATCTCGATGAATATACTTTTGACGATTCAGCTCTTGACATCCTGAAGCAAAATGGGTCAGACTACGGTGGACGTCTGAAAGGTGCCATTTTCTAAGCCGTGCTGTTTGGTTTTCGCCAATAGCGACTGACTATAGCGCCCATGATTAGAAAATAAGTAATTTGGACTCCTTTTGTTCATCGCCTCTGCCTCCACCCGCTCGACGGCTGTTTTGGAGGAGAAGGTGGGTAGAGTTGAAGGGTGTCCTGGTTTCTGCCGGACGCCATACGCTTGTCGCGAAAGCGCACGTTACTGTCAAAGGCAGACCCAACGGGCGGTGGAGAGGGCCTGCTGGCAGGTGTATAAAAGGGCTCAGCCATGCTAGTCACACGTAATCAGTGTCAGTCGTCAGTCGTCAGTCAGCAGCAAACGGTCTTCCTAGCCGTCCCTGCAGCAGCCCGCCATGTTCTGACAAGCCTATAGCTCCAAGCGCCCCAATGACCCCAGACTGGACAATTAGGAACGTACGATGTTTCCCTACGTGCAATAGCGTTTGATTGTAAAAGCGTTAGAGGAAAGGTTGCGGAGTGGCGCGACCCATATGCCCATTGGCTGCGTCACAAATTTCGTGTTTTTATGCACTTCGCCAGGTTCGTTTATAGCTTGCCTTAGGAGACCTGCTGCGCTAATATGTTTACGTACGACTCAAATCCTTCTCAGGTGATCAGTGCCTGCTCTTCCATCTCTCTCATCGGGCTGCTCCAACCCTTCATGGATTGAAACATTAGCTGTAGCATTCAATGTATGCATTCGTAATAACTTTCAAAGTCGTTCTGTGGTAAGTTTTCAGTAGTATTAATGACTACGTAGTATTGTACTCACCTCTAGCTATGTCTAATGCTATTTCGATCAGGTTCAGAATACGCAAATCGTAAGGATTCAAATCATCCTGAAACAACACATACATTCGGGCATTATACAGGGTGGTCCAAAATTATGAGGACCGCGTGCGCGCGCAGTCATATCCACTTTTTTCCGTATCGCTCCATTTTCATCTCGTTTTCTGTGCACTATGTGAAAGGGTACAATGTCTTCTTCCTAATGAAACCAAATTTCATGAAGTTCAAAACTAGTGAAATAACTACTTCACTTTGAGTCAGTCCTCAAATTGAACTCACTAGGGGCTCTGGCACGTTACATCTAGCAGCAGTCTAACCTATCAGAGAAGCCCTTATGAGCAACAGTTCAACTCTTCAATAAGTTTGGAACCACCACAGATGGAAAATTCGGGGACTCGAAAGTTACAGTTACCACCAGGATAATTATCAGATGCAGAAACTAGGTCTCCCCTTGTCGACTTTCGTACACCCAAAATGAAAAAATTGATGTGAAAACCCAGCCAGACACTCTAAAGACTCCACATCTGTAGTGGATAGAAAGCCACACGAGTAGTCTACTTGGGACTTTTACAGGACCGAGCACCCAAGAATAAAGCAAAAATTCTCTAAAAAGCGATTTTTCGAGTTCGTTGCTTTCGAAGAATTGTTACAATGGAACCTTCCACCTAATAGCTCTAGATTTCTGTATTTCACACCCTGGATGCAAGCGCAAATAAATGCCCCACAAAACTTTGATTCCCTGAAGAAGGCAGAGCAGAAGGCCTGGAAACATTTGGACACGCCTCAGTTGCGTGCCACCGCACGCGCCATCCCCTTCATCTGAAGGCTCGTGTTAACGGGGCAGGTGGCAGATCTCAATTCTATTCTGGAATTACTTTGAGGTAAGAGTTACAAATACTTCCCAGAAGTTGGTTTGTTCCATCAAGCTACTATGCGTTTTTAACGACACAATGTCTTGGTCCTCATAATTTTGGACCACCCTGTAAAAATAATACTGTCACAAGTTACCTACCTGAGTTGGACGAGCTTCTCTTAAGAATGACCGCAAATCTCCGCCACCCATAAACTCGAGAATAATACGTAATCGAGGCGGATCCCACTGTATCCAGTGAAGCCTTACAATATTGGGATGATTGAATTTGCTGGAATTTACATCGCATTTTAGCCGTGGTGAAAATGCTCAGCCAACAGTGGAGACAACATGCACAGGACCGGGATGGATGGCTCAAAGACGACTTGCGTGAATGGCTGGGTTTCTGAGGAAAAGCCGGATATAGGTGATACAGACGATTCGAGCCGTGTGTGATTATGTTTTTACTATGAGAAGCCTCTGACCTAGTCACTACGAGGAAACCCCCTTCAGATTCTTAGACTTCTGGGAAACTCCTACATATGTTTTACAAAGCATGAAGATACTACACAATGAGCTGTCCTAAGACTCACCCCGCAAACTTCACCCCGTCTTAATGCCGTAGGAAAGCAAGTCTTTAAGGGTTGGTTTCTAAGCAAGGATGCGGAACTTCTGAAATTTCTCTTGCAATTCTTTACGTCTCTCCACATTTGGTTCAAAATTGGGGTAACAAAAAGCGAATG